TTCCTAGAACCAATATAGAATTTTGCTTGTGGACATGGGGATAATTAAGCATCACATAGACATGAGGAACAATTTAATTGAATCATTACTTTTTTAAACAAAAGTCTTAAGTCCAAAGTATATTTTACAGATTCATTTGTTTCTCTACATAAATCTCTTTCTAAACAACATTACAAGTGAAGTACATATGGAACAATATAAATAGAAAGATTGGTGATGAACCTTCATAAAGGTGCAAAAAATGGGCAATTCCAATTTTAACATTGCCTATATGATGTTTTGAAACCAACTTCAACTATTTGCTGTTAAACAACCCAAGAACTGCTGATAGTCTTTTCTACCCTCACACTGGCAATACAAAGCAACAACTGGTAACAATGAAAGTTAAAGTAATGATGTATTTTCCTCCTGCTCTTATAGCAGCTTTGGTGTCAAATCTGCTCACTGCATGTCTGGAAAATAAAGAACTGTAAACTATATTACTTCCACACCAATGCAATCTTTGAAAATATTTGTCTTCAAATTAGCAAACAAACTAAGCATAAGCAAATAAGACTTGCTGGTAGGTAAATCTGTAATCCACTATATTCAGAAGAATAACTTGGAATTTAGTACCAACAGAGCAGTAATACTTTAAAAATACTTAAAAAACAAAAAAGTCATTAATTATACGAAAAAAATCATAACAATCGGGTTATCAGTATTTGGTGTTTCTTTGTGTGTAATGTGAGGCTCCACTTTCTAGCTAATAACTGATCGCTACATTTGATTTTAGGTTTCCTCGATTCACACATAGTTGAAACCGAAGAATACGCTAGCAGCATCCTAGTCCCCAAGCATGCTAAAAGGTTCCTATGTCACCAGCTGAAATGTGAACATTAGCCATTCTTCCAAACATTTCCAAAGCTCTATTGAGAAAGAGGTGAGAAAGTATTCATATGGCTTATTTATTACTGAATTTTGCCTGAAGTTCTAATTTAAACTCCAAAGTATGAAGGTCTCTGTTGTCCTTAAATGCCAAGGAAAAAAGTGAGATGAAGAGGCTGAGCAGCCTTTCATCTGCTGTTGATCACATCTACACTCTGCAGAACTAGTCCAAAATTCCAAATATGTATCTTTTTATGTTATCCTTGGCTTGCCTTTTTATAAAAACTGTACCTAGTTCTTTTAAAACTGGAGTATCACACATTTGCATGTTTTTACAGCAAATATGACAGTCTCAAATTCTGCAACTTATACATCTATGGAGTGAATACTTAATATTGATGGAATTTTCAATCTGGCTGGGAATCTTGTCAAATACCCATTCAGATGGATTAAAAAAAATGTATATATACATGTCTCCTGAATCTTAATGGTCATGTAAGATAAACACAGCCAAGGTTAAAAATTACTTCAGGAACACCTGAAAAACTGGCACATCTGAATATACAGCATTTTCATGACTTATGATATAATACCAAATGCTATCTACATCTTACAAAGATGACACAGAAAAACTACAAACAATGTTAGCATTCAAAATCGATCAGCTGAGAATAACATTCAGTAGCATGAATAAAGTTAAAGAACACCAGTGCATGTATAATTATTCATATTTTCTACACATACAGTAAAAGTAACCATGTATGAAATGCTACCAAGTAAAATGAGGAATAGTTGAGAAACTATGATCTTTTAGATCTTGATAAAGAAATATTCAAAGTAATACATTACTATTTTTTTTTAACAATCAGGTGCAATAAGTAACAAAATTCAATATTTCATTAGTTTGAACCTGTTTGAAAATCACATTAAAATGCACAGACAAGTTTTTTTTGTTTTTTTTTCTAGCATTCAATAATGTATGATTTGAATTTCCAAAGGGTTCTTGTACCCAATAAGGTTACCTGTGCAAGTGCGAATAGGTTAATATTTGAAAAATATATATTTAAAATAAGAAAAATGTCCAAGGTGCACTGTCTTTGCTGTAAACACCATATATAGGTATACAAAAACCACACAGATAGCAGACACTACATACACAGTGGACTACAGAGCTGTCAGTTGCTGTTATACGTCTACAAATAAATACTTGTGCAGATAGAGGTCAGTGCTTACTTGAAATTGCATCAGTAAAATATCCATCTATGCAGTGCGATTATATTCCTCGGGGACAAATTTCTCATTTTACCACAAAGACTCCTATCATAACTATTTCATATCAAGAAGTACTTCTGATTTTCAGGTTACAAGCAAAATTCACATTAAGTTTTCTCTATTTTTATCCTTCCCATTGGACTGCACAAAGTTGTCTACGTAACTACTTTTCCTGATGCTCAGAAACTCCACCAGTCAAAGCTGCATGTAGTTATTTGCACTGGGTAATCTGTAACATCCTTTTGTAGGTCTTTGTGCATTTTAATATGTCTCTGATGCTAATCAGTCTATTAATGTGAGCATCTGCCTGAAGCCCCTCAATAGCCATTTCAGGCTCCTAACACACATTTTACTTTCCTTACAATTTGTAGATGATGCGTGTGCTGCATTTCAATTAACCACTTAAATGGCTGATTACACTTATCAAAATTTTAAAGTGCTTGGCGGGATTAAGCAGTTACTTCACCTTATATGCCATAATGTTAACAAACATATAGAAGACAGAAAAAACAAGAAGCAGCAGCTCGTTCAAATCTAGACAGCATAGTAGCACCCTCAAAAGCTCAGAATGAAACACAAAGGGAAGGTTTATTACGTTCTTGAGATTAATCACCCACTCAGGTAAGTGGTAACAGCAGGTACTGCTAGGTTTTACTTTGCCTTTCTAATCCAAATGCTTTATGTTCCTACATAGTTAAGCCTTTCTTTACTCTCTAGCAACATCTACTGGTAAAGTAATGGGAAAGCTTTCATATAGAAACACAAGCAGGTGTTACTGGTGCTGCACCTTGCTATAATTTGCCTTGATTCCTTTAAACTCTTGATTGTATTCCATATAATTACTTTAACAGTAACCTTAAATAAAACAAGTGGGCTATTAAAATATTCACAGCTGCAGGTGTTCCTTTAGACATATACATAGCAGCGCGCTCTCCGTATGCATCACCGTAGAACGAAACGAGTAGTATTGCTGTAATGATACAATACTTCAAGGATGAAACAGGTGTGAGTACACCCCCTCCACTGTGTGTGATTGTACGACTATATTACATATACATCACATATACACATAAACCCACATATGTGTACAATGTTTACACAATATAACAGGAGACATAAGCGTAAACAGAAGCTGGCACACACAGACGTAAAAAAACATACCGGTACAACACGCAGAAAGAGTATCCAGTAAGAATGCAAAATATGGTGAACCGCTCTTTAATTATTATTTTTTATGCTCATCACATAGACCAATAATCTATTCACGTTTACAACCCTAAATGCACAAACATCCTTTTGCATTAACAGAGATCTTACTAGAACACTTTAAAGAAACACATTCATTCTCCTGAGCTTCTACCTGTGCTGTCTAAAAATAAAATCTGAAATTCATGGAAAGCAGACCATTGAAGCACAGTTGTGTTTCCGAGCATATGGGATGCCATTTGGCATGAGTGCTACTACAAAATCTAATAATCAAATGGAAACAAGGTCTTCTATGAACTCATTCAGTGCTGAAGTGCCCTGCTGCCTGCTGATGTTGCAGGCCCATCAACATCTCATTGGGTTAATGTAAAAACAAACTCCTATAAAATACCCTGATGTGATGCTTGCTCCACTACAGAAAGAAGTGTCAGCTTCAATGCCAAAGCAATCTAACACATTTTATTTAAAACCTTAAAGTACAGGACTATAAAAGAGAACATTCTATTTCTGAGTTACTTCCTTGAACTATAGAAACTTGCCGTATCATGGGATTATAATTATATCTCTTGTTCCTGTTTGCAGTGAAAGCCTGATAGGATTAGAGGACAATACTGGATATTCAGGGAGAAAAAAAATCAATGGGTGCCTTGAAAGCTGGGTAATCAAGATACTTTTTGTGAGCAGAGCTATGTTAGGTCAACTAATTTATCATTGCATTCTTACATATGCCAAGTGCACTATGTATATCCAGCTGCCACTAATATTCAATGCATACTGAATAAAGCCTGCATTTTGCTACTTTTTGGTATGGAAATTTCACGGTTGGCACCATTTCCTCAATTAAATGAAAAAAAAAAAATCACATTGCATACAGAAAAAAATCATATAGCCAGCCAAATTCCAACAGCACCTGCCCCTTTCCTTAAGTTTATTTCAACAAATTCAGCTCTTACTATTTAAAATGCATACTAGAGCAAATACTTCAATTTTCCTAAACTGCAGTTGTCCAGCAACTTAATTTCCCAGCCAAAATGAACACATTACCCGATCACCAGAATGTTTACGCCGTCACAAAAAAACAGTAATATAGCACAATTAATGCAATCAAGATGTTAGCATTCATGTTTCACTTGCAATATATTTATACATATATTTTTGTTAAAAAAATCACATGCTTGAAACACCCACATAGCTTGCTGGATACATCGATATATGCATACCATATACAGACTAAAATATAAATAAAAATGAAAATTGTTGCAGCTTTAAATAAATTATAAATATATTTTCCATCTGATGCAGGCTGGTGGCTCAGAAATGTACTGTGTGTATATATAATGTGATGCTTCCTAGGCAACTGTTTGCCAAGTCTACATAATATGCAGTTTCAGTATTATCTCTAAATACAAATGCCTTATGGAGCTTGTGCAACTAGGCAGGAATCAGATAAGCATGAAATAGGCTGCAAGATATATGGGAGACAGATTCTGAAGAATTATCCTATTGTATCCTAAATAAATATTGTGGCTGCTATCCCTGCTGCAGGCATGCTTGTTTGTCAGGGATGGAATCACAATCCGTCCATAGAAATGTGCAGGAAAAAACAAGGGGATCCCTTCGTACGATACAGCAGCAGAGACACAATGCAATCTTACCTGCCTCTGATGTAGGCTTCCTTCCCTTATTAGTCGGCTGAAGCATTGCTATCCGTCCCTCTAGCCTGTATCCGTAAGGATCTGCACAGCTACAGTAAGTCCTTATGCTTGCTAGAAAACACTTGCAGGAAAGTGTCTGTTTCTGTTTTTATTCCTGCTTCTTCCTCCTTTTTTTTTAAGTCCCTTTTACAGGAGGGAGAAGGGGAGCGATGTGACACCAGCTCAATCTTGTGCAAGAGTGAAAAGGCAGCGGAGAGGCTCTGGATTCAACTGAGCTTCACACATGATTAAAACTCGCCTGAGAGGCTGCGAGCTCTGGCTAAAGCACCACTAGGCGTGAGTACAAGAGGAGAGGAGAGGGACGAGTGAATGGAATGTGACAACATATGTGAATCAAAAGACACAATGCAACGCCACAGATAGGTACAGTAAGGAAAAAGTCACAGGCAGAGGATAGGTGGGGAAATGAACAATGTAAGAATGCATGGATACAGGAACACAAAATTAATTTACAGAAGCAGAACAGCATACATTTTATTCAGTGGCTTTTCTTAGTTTGAATGTACATTTCCTTTTTTTTTTTTTTTATATATATATATATATTCTCTTCATACCTCTCTTCCTTACTTCAATTTATAGCCTGGAAAGCTGGGAAAATACATGTGCATTAGTGTTTTTGTTGTTGTTGTTACATGACTGACAGGTTAATGTGCAGCATTATATCTCATATTGTTTTTAGATGACTTTGTGAGCAATTCCGTCCACATTTGTATTCAGACAGACACCATATATCAATAATCTGTCAATATACACCTAACTCTCAGTGCAATTTGCTAGACTGAAAGTTGTGAATTCAAAATGAACAGTATATGAATAAATGAAAGAAAAAATGTTTATATATATATATTGAGATATAGATATCTATATAGATATCTATGTATATAGTCTCCCTGCATTACATCTGTTCAGTTAAATACTTCATTTAACAGCACTCACAAATGTCAAAGACTCATTAAAAACACAAGATGCTGAGAAAAGAATGGACAGATGCACAACATTCAAAGCCTGTCATACTTTATATAAGAAGCTGCATGCATATTTCAATTGGCCTTTGAAGCAAAATCACAATGGTATACCATCGGTCTGAATTATTCTATACAAAACATCTTCATTATGATTTTTCGTCTTTAAAATGCAGACCTGTCAGAGTACAAAATGAAATGAGGTATCAAGAAAGCTTCTGTGTTTCCACTGAACTCTCAGATCAACATTGCAAGTTTCATTTTATAAAGGAGAGCCATTCCATCAGTGTCACCTGAAATATATGTTCTGAGCTCATTTTTGCCAACCAGGCAATGTGGCATCTGCTCATGAATGCTTGTTGTACCTGTTTCTACCAGGCAGCTCCGTCAACATAATCGTAAAACTGGTAACCTGCTAAATCACCATTGGCTTTAAATGTTCAGTCCATTTAAGCATGTTTTTCTTCCCATTAGTGCTTGTGTGCATCAGACCAGCTCAGTCTACAAAAGTCTGAGGTTGCCAGCAATCAGATGTTTGAGTTTCCCTATGCCAAAGTGTACCAGTATGCATGTCATAGTGTTTCAGGTATAGCCAGTAGAATTCCATTAAAAATTATGGAGATGCAAGAATAATTAAGCATGACATATTCTTACATACTGGTGCCCCCATGTACCCACTCCACTGTTTTCTTGCCGGCCAGGTTATTTTTAAATATAATCCAGAATGTAATAACTTTTACAGATAAGGTTTCCCAATCACCTGTTTTGTCCTATATTGTTCACTTCTCCTGCTTTCTCTAAACTCTTCACCCTTTAGTGAATAACCCTTTTCATGTCTATTTTCCATAAACAAACACTAAGATAAACATTTTGCCATACAGAGCAACAGTTTGGAGTCCTCAGTCCCTTCCATTTGTCCACAGGTATAGTCATTTAACCTTGGACTGGGAATACATTTATTTTAGCCACCCTCATTATATGTGAGCAGATGGTCTTCAATTGTATTAACAATGCCCAATTGATTCTCTGTAAGATATTGTACCCAGAACCTTTGTGATTTATCTTAATAATTAAAATGTATTTACACACATATACATATATGCAGCAGAGCAGACATGGAGGTAGACATATTTTTACTTCAACTTTTTAATGTTAACAATAGCACATGTATATAAAAATAATGACTGCTTTACTGTTGCACATTTGGTATTAGCAAACACTAGCATCATGCAGTGATTCTCAGGCCTGATGCTACACCATTGAGACTTATATTACCTATGCGTATTCTTTTGACCTAATTGCATGGTAGCAGAATATTTAAAATATTTGGCTACTAGCATATAGCTGGATCTGTCAAATGCACATAATACATATGAATCAAAGTGATATTGGAGATAAAATATCCAGACAGGAAGCACAAGTATAAGCCAAATCCTTTTGTTCTCTGATCTAACTAGATCTATAAAGTGTCATGCAAAATAATTTCAAATCACATGAAGCCATTCAATGAACGATAGCAATACAGCAAGTCTCAATTGATCCCCCTAGTATGCTGGAGTATCAGCCTAGTCTTACATTGTTATGAATAAGCATGATTGTACACAGGCAGACATTAAAGATTGCAGCCTAAATTTCATACCACACTGTGTGTTCCCAGCCTGAAGCAGTGTATACCCTTAGCCCATTTTTTAATGCCAGTAAGGAGTAGACTGGCACTGAAACAGAAAGTGGGGATCCATGGCACAATAGGATATTTATGGATAGTGGCCACGTCGGGCAACAACTGACTAGTGTAGGAAACAAAATTTCATAGAGTAGAAAATAGAGCTAAGCCTGCTGTAACACTACTCAATGGACGTAAGAAGAACACCATTACAAGATAAATAGCTATGAATAGGGTATAATTATTGTGGTTACATATGTGTCTTTTGGCTATTTAGTGGTTTAAGGTTGTAGAGGTAATTTGCTAGATGTTCCTGGCCATCCTTAGCTTTACTAAGCCATTAGGAAACATAAACATGAGTAATTATTTGCATGTATAGTATGGGTTTGGGAGTAGGGATGAGATTCTGATTCAGGTTGAGGTTGGGTTTGACGCTACCCCAACCTGTCCACCGACCCAACAAGTTAATATGGCCATTTGCCACCATAGTAACCAACAATCTATAATGCTCTTCCTGGTCTCTGAACTTAGGTCAGGTGGCTTAGATTGGCCATTAATGGGAAACATTCTTAAGTGCCAGCCCCTCACTATAAAAAGGCAGGGTTCCCAGCAGCTGCATTGCAAATGTATTTAGTTGGAATAAGGACTAAAAAAATGTATAAGGACAGGGTTTGTAGTCACTGGTGTCTTAAAGAAGATGCAAACACTTTATTAATATTTTAGGAATAAAATATTGTGTGTCTTCTGGAATTTCAGGGTGGAGGGAGGAAAGGCTTTTTAAATGTCAACAGTGCTGATGTGTGTCCTGCAGCTTCTTTACAGCCTCTCAATGTGCACTGTATACAGTTAGAACAGGATGCATGTGTGTTTTAAAAAGGACATCTTGTTCACTGGCTAGTCAAGTACTCCTTTTGGGGTGCTCTAGTGAAGATCTTGGGTATTTGGTTAGACTCTCTGCCTCTTTCCTTTTAAGGGTCACATATTTTCCAATGAGCAGATAACACAAAGAGTCCATTATCCATTTTTCCATGACAACTTGGTTCTATTTCTTGTCAGCTGCCATCTGTACAGGTTTGTCTGAGGGCTGCAACCTGGTACACCCAAAAAAACAAACCAGGGAATGTTAAGCGCACTACTAGTGGTGTGAATATTGGTGGTAGTGATTGGCGTGAGGTCTCCTTTAACAGGGGGAGGAACCCTGTGTGCAGAACAAACAACAAGAAAACAAAAGCAGTGCTACTACCTAGAGAGGATACCACATAATTACATTAAAAATGTTTGGTGGTGTGTGAAGGAGGAAGGAGAATCACTCACCGTTGTTTGGGGATAGTAATGGTCTTCTTATTGAAGAATAGAACAGTGGTCCCGTTTGTTTCCGAGGATAATAAATCTGAAGTGACAGCTGCAAGAACTGTTTTCTTCCCAACATCTCAGGATTCACCAGGCACCATCTACATCCTTGGTTCCAGCTACTACTCCACAGTGAACAAAGAATTATCCCACGCAGATGTGACCACCGTTCTATTCCTCAATAAGATGACCATCACTAACCCCATCCAACAGTGAGTGATTCTCCTTCCTGCTTACACACACCACCAAACATTTTTAATGTAATCATGTGGCATCCCCTCTAAGTAGTAGCGCGCCTGTTGTTTTCTTGTTGTTTAACTTGGTACACCCACCAGTAAAGTCCATCACTCCTTGTAGGATTCTCTAGTGAAAATATGTTCAACTGCCATCTGCAGAGGTGCGTTTGAGAGCTGCAACCTGGTACACCTACCAGTAAAGTCCATCACTCCTTGCGAGATGCTCTAGTGAAAATATGTCCAGCTGCCATCTACACAGGTGTTTTTGAGAGCTGCAACCTGATACACCCACCATTAAAGTATCTCACTCCTTGTGGATGCTCTAATGAAGATCTGATATGTGTGCTTAGACTCTCCACGTCTTTCCTTTTAAGGGCCACATTGTCTCCAACATGCAAAAATCTCAGAGGGTCAGCCTGTGACAATCTAGTTCTCTCTGCATCTCAGAAATGGCCTTTTTAACTCTCTAGAAACATTTCTCTCTATGCACGCCTTCAATGTGATATGCCTTGCAGCTATGACATATGCCAGTCCAGTGTCATTTTTGTTTTGACTTCAAGACAGTGGACTATGGACAGTTTCATTGATTTCATCCATCTCCTCCATGTTACTGCTGTATAGCATTTTCCACCTCAGCTGACCTTTCAGACCTTTAATTGTATTCTTGTTTGTCATTAAAGGGGTATTCAAAGTTTGTTAGGCTTTTTCAAATGCTGATTAACTCACTTATAATGGATGCTGCTTCCTAATGTTTAAAAGTGTTAGCTTCTGCAGAATAAACTGGTCCCCTGAGCAATGGCCTTATATCCTGTTTTAGGGTACTATGGAGACACCTTTGTTTGTGCTTGAAAGCTGTATGTGTCTCCACAAACACATAAGCACTGCAAGGCAAAGCCACTTTCCTGCTTTGTCCAATCCCTCCTTCCCCCCTCCTCCCTCCTTTAAGCTACTAGATTGATCACTGTTGCAGACTTCTCTGTCCCTTGTGATCTTGTACTGGACTAGAAACATGATGACTGTAAGTGCTTGGGCAG